TCTTGTGTTTGCTACTCCTTCGCAACTGTTAAAGATAACGACAAAATTATTTAACCAATTTGTTTGTTATAGCCTCAGAATGTTGAGATTGGTTTGGACCGAAGCATTCAATAAAATCCATATGAGAGGTATTTCCCCTTATGCATTGAATATAATTGATATGCATTTGTAACTGGTAAACCATGAGTGGTAGAGACCTAGGATCTACAGATTTGAGGTCCTTGATTATAAAAAAGAAAAAAAAATGAGGTCAAGGTTAAAGGTCGCGGTCATGTTCAAAATTTCAGACTTTGGATACATTTCACATGAATGTGAAGTTAGCAGCCGGTTCGTTATTCAATATTCAATATCCAACCGGCTGCTAGCAGTCGGTTCGATATTCGAATTTAGTTGAAAATCATCAATTTTAGAATATTCAAAAACATTAAAAGCATGATACTTATATTTTTTTAACCCTTTCAAACTATCCTTAATTCTCGTTGTACTCAAATACAAACCCTAATGAAAATCGCACATTTGTCTTTTTGAAATATAGATTTTTATCCATAAAACGAGATCGAAGAGGTTATTTTATATATGGTATTTCTAGAAACTTAAAAAACAATCACTCTAGTAATATTTAGAAATAGAAATAGAAATAATTATGGAAAGCCAAAATAAAAAGAAATATATAGTGAAAACATACAGAAAACCGTTCAAATGACACTGAAACCCCTCAAAATATGATCTCTCAATCGTCTTACTATTATGCAGGTAGTTAGTAAATACAAAGATACAATCGAGTCCAAAAGGAATTGAGATAAACTTTTTTCAGAGAAAATTTACCGGAGACCGCTTAAATGACGGTGAGACCCCCTGGTCATCCATAAAATTCAATGAACTTTTAGTCAATGTATATATACAGATAGTTTCAAAGGATTTCCCAAAATAATGTCATCTAGGATATCTACGGAGGGCTTAAATTGTCACTTTACAGCTAGAAAGCGTCAAAAATCAGGTCAAAGGGCACAGGTCTATGTTTAGACTTCTCTGATCTTTCTAATATTATACAGATAGATAGGTAATATACCGATACAATCGAGACTAAAAGGAATTTGGATAAACTTCTTGTCTTCTATGTTTAGGGAGGGCTCAAAGTGCCAGTTTGATATTAAAAATACATAAAGAAAATGTAACCGGAGACCGTATAAATGACGGTGAGATCACCTGGTCATTCAATGTTCATAAAATTCAATGAACTTTTAGACCATGTATATATACAGATGGTGTCAAAAGGATTTCCCAAATAATGTCATTTTCAATATCTACGGTTGGCTGAAAGTGTATCTTTTCAGCTAAAAATCGTCAAAAAATCAGGTCAAAGGGCACAGGGTGAGTTTTAGACCACCTGATCTCCCAATATTCTTAATATTATGCATATAGTTAGTCAATACATAATATAACCATACAATCAAGACCAAAAGGAATTTTGAAATTATTTTGTCTTCTATGTTTACGGAGGGCTTTAAGAGCCAGTTTGATATTCAAAATATATAGAGAAAATCTACCGGAGACCGCTTAAATGACGATGAGACCCTCCTGGTCATTCAATGTCCATAAAATTCAATAAACTTTTAGACAATGTATATATACAGATGGTATCAAGAAGGAATTTCCCAAGTAATGTCATCTACGATATATACGGAGTACTTAAAGTGTCACTTTTCAGCTAAAGATCGTCAAAAAACCAGGTCAAAGGGCACAGGGTGATGTCTAGACCACCTGATATCTCAATATCCTTAATATTATGCAGAAAGAATCAAAACCAAAAGGAATTTGGAAAACGTTTTGTTGTCTATGTTTACAACGGGCTCAAAGTGTCAGTTTAATATAAAAAAAATATATAGAGAAAATTTACCGGAGACCGCTTAAATGACTATAAGACCCCCTGGTCATTCAATGTCTATAAAATTCAATGAACTTTTAGACAATGTATATATACAGATGGTCTCCATATCAACTAGCTGTCTCAATAGTATTAGGAAGATTGAGAGATCAGGGGGGTCCCATCATTGACCATTGTCCTTTGTTCTGACATTTTGACAATTTTTAAATAAAAAGTGACAATCTGAGCCTTCCGTAGATATCGCAGATGACATTTTTCTGGGAAATCCTTTTGATACAACTTTTAAATATACAAAGTCTATGATTTCGTCACATTTTATGGACATTGAAAGACCGGGGGGTCTCACTATCATTTAAGCGGTCTCCGGTAGGTTTCACTGTATATTTTGAATATCCAACTTGCACTTTGGGCCCTCCGTAAACATAGAAGACAGGACGTTTACTCGAATTCTTTATGGTCACGTTTGTATCTACATATTAGATAACTGTCTGTATAATATTAGGAAGATTAAGTGGTCTCCGGTAGGTTTTCACTATACTTTTTGGGGCTTTCCATAAATATTTCTATTTCTATATTTTTAAATGTTTCTAGACTGATCGGTTTTTGTTTTTGTTTTTCTTTTAAGAAACATTATATATAGAACAACATCTTTAATTTCGTCTTATTGATAACAATCTATATGAAATTAAGACAAATTTGGAACTACATGTAACATAAGGGTTTATATTCGAGGACAACGTGAATTTACGACAGCTTGAAGGGGTTATCCTACGTATCTTTTCACTCCTCTTAACAATGAAAATCATGCTTTCAATGTTATCAAATATTATTTTTTTTATGATTTTCAACTCAATTTGAATATCGAACCGACTGCTTGCAGCCAGTTGGATATTGAATATCGAATATCGCATAACGAACCGGCCGCTAACCTCACATACATTATTTTTACTTCTTTTCAGAAATTGTATAAGATATTGACAAATAACTAAAATGTTAGTTGCGACATGATATAAGACATACATTTTGGTTGAAAGGGTGCGTAGAAATTAAATTGGAGTTTTAGCCCCTCTTACATTAAGAATTGTGCATATAGGTATATAATTCATTAACCATATATAATAAAGATCAAGGGTCTGTTGATTTATTAGTTTATGTCATAGATGAATTTGACGTTCTAGATTTTGACCTTTGCTTCAATATCATATTTATAGATCACAGAGCCATATAACTGTGTGCATTAGATGGCAAACCATTAAAAAAACACCTGACATGACCTTGAATAAACCGAAAGTAGTTAATTGTTTGTACTTGTTTGATGATAAGGTATAAAGAATCATTTTATTTTTTTTTAAATCAATGGCAATTAAACAACTAAATAATACCAGAGTGACATTTTTCAAACCAGAAGTAACAAATGATCTACCTTTTTTCAAACAAAAGTGTATATGAATCATTATTTTATCAGGATTAGCATTTAGTAAGCTTACATTTGACACTGAAAATTACATTTTAAAATCTTAATATCATAACACATCATTTCGGGTGGAAAGACTTTCAATTGTTCTTCATTAATTATTTATATATTTTTCTTCTTCCGCCACATTTATTTTTTACGGTGGTTTTCGGTTTCGCAAGATGTCGCTTAGACATTGGCATTCGTTTGGTGTGTTTGAGCTTTTTATTTTGCCATTTGCTTACAGGGACTTTCCTTTTTGAATGTTCCTTGGAGTTCAGTATTTTTGTGATTTTACTTTTAGATATTTTTGCATATGATATCGAACAGTTATTGCGATTATAAACCGATCCTATTTAACCGAACACGTTTTATTGTAAGAGTTATCTCCCCAAACACTGCTTTTTTGTGTGTGTGTGCATCTCCTCCGTAACCTTTGAAGATAACGACATTTTTTTACCATTTCGTTCGTTACATCCATAGGATATTAAGAATAATGTTGACCAAAGCAGTCCGGAGACTCCATATGAGAGTTATTTCCATTTCTGTAGTTCAGATAAGAAAACTGTAACTGTAACTGGCAAACCATAAGAGATAGAGACCTAGGGTGTTTTGAATTGAGGTCCTTTGTTCACCAAAAAGAAAATTGGTTCAAGGTCAAAGGTCAGGGTCACATTCTTTATTGTTAGTATGGCTTAATATTGCTTCTTTTTAGCAATCGTATAAGATTTTGACTAACTATTTATACTGAACTGATATTTGCGACATGTTGTAACATACATATTCTAGTTAAAAAGGTGTCTTGACATTTAATTGAAGTTTTCTCCCCTTTTATACCCAAAATAAGCTGTATTAGGATAGAATTCCTTTTTCTATACATGGTAGAGACTAATGGTCATTTAATTTCAGTTCCTCGCTTTATGACCTTGACATTTAGTTCAAGGTCAAAGGTAACACGTTTTAGATTTAGACAGTTGCTGTATGTAGATTCCTGTCTGTACGTGATAAAGCCTTGGGATCCTTTGCATTAGATAAGTAGACATATGACCTTGAAAATGTTAACCAGAAGTGACCTTTTTTTAACCTGAAGAATCAAATTATCTCCCTTATTTAAATCAAAAGTATATAGAACCTATATTTTTTTTAAATCAGAGCTAAGTAAGCTAGTATTTGACACCGGACGTAATTTTGATTAAACAGGAAGTAATTTTGATCTATCCGGAAGCGGCTTATTATCTCCTTTAATTGATTAAAAAGTGCCTTAAACATTGTATTAGTGTTATAAGCTATCATTTAGGCCCACATTTTGTTATCTTTAGTGAAGTGTAGTGGAAAACCTTTAAATGTGCTCTGAACATTTTTTTTAATATATATATGAAATATAAATAGTCAACAAGAAGAATTTGAAAGATACTTGACACTAGAAGACGTCTACGAGTGGCTTGTTTGTCAGAATATTAGCATTGAAATTTACAAAGTGATCAAAGGTAAATAAAACATTTTTCCTCTGTTGTTTGAGTAGTTTTCTTTTATTTGTTTCTCCTAAATCCATGCTAATTAGAAGGAGTTTAACCAAACTTTTACATAGTTTCTTATCCAGAATGCATTATATTCTATGCACCAGCATTTAAACAAAACTGATTGTGAAGAAGTGCATGCATGTGAAAAATATAAAGTTTATGTATAAAGATACATGTTAAAGTTACATGTAAGTAATGTCATATTGCAATTTAGATATTATGATACCTAAAAACTTTTGAACATGTAATCACTAATCTAAAAAAACTTTAACACTGTGTTTTTACAGTTATTATTTGTTACTTTACAGCTAACAGAACAAAGTAAAGTACAAATGCTTGTAGCAATTGATAATGAAGACTCCTCCATAAATACCTGTTTTGCTGTTGGTTGCGGAATCAATGTTGACTAGAAAAGGAAGCAGACGTATCTTACAAAACTGTTATATTTTCACTGTGTATTGGACCTCACAAACCTCAAAAAAACTTCAGCTGTTGTAATTCATAAACCAATATGTATCAAAAGATAAAATTAACAGATAAAATTCCCCCAAAAATATGAATTCAAACTACTAAGTTTCAGCATGGAGTAAGACGGTTAGCGCATTTATTTATTTGTTAGTGAAGCAGCAACTTGTAAACATGTTGTAAGAAGGCTAGCACATTAATGTGTTAATGAAGCAGCCACTTGTTTACATGTTGTAAGAAGGCTACCACATTTATTTGTTAGTGAAGCAGCCCCTTGCATACATGTTGTAAGAAGGCTAGCACGATAATTTGTAAGTGAAGCAGCGACTTGAATACATGTTGTAATAAGACTAGCACATTAATTTGTTAGTGAAGCAGCCACTTGTATACATTTTGTACGAAGGCTAACACATTAATTTGTTAGTGAAGCCGCCACTTGTATACATGTTGTAAGATGGCTAGCACATTAATTTGTTAGTGAAGTAGCCACTTGTGTATATGCTTACAACAAGATACCGGTATGTATTCAACAAATTTCTGATGGTGATAACAGTTGATATTCCTCTTGAAAAACATTTATAACCTAAATGAACTCTTCCCAGTTTAACTCAAAATGTTTCCTATCATCATCCCAAAAGAATTCAAATCAATTTAAGAAATATTTTATTTTATATATGTTCCAAAATAAGTATATTTGATTTAAAGGAAACTTCAAAATAGAAATTATCTAAAATGCACAACCTAGTTATGTGCTTTTTTTCCATTTTACTGTGTTCATAATGTCAAATGATTTCAGCGTTGAATAAGCTGTTTACATCTACCACTCTGGTCTGTGTTCAAAAAATGTTTCATTCGCAATGTTATAACATCTTTTTTTGTGAATACAAGTTTTTGAAATCTGCAGCAATTACTGGATTGTGGTCAAATGTGGCTTATAACATTTCAATATACCTCAAATATTATATTGGTTAGATAAATATTACATATGTAAATATTATGTGAATAAAATAACACATCAATCGCACAGTAAAATTTCATTTTTTAAGAAAAAATATTCATTTTTTTTTTTTATCTTGATATATCGTTTTGTGGGCGTTGAAGCGAATTTTGACTTCTTTATCCTTTAACAAAAGTGTGACAAAATCGTCTCCATCTTTATATCGTACAACCTGCTTGGTCAGCAGAAATTCCATCAAAAAGTCGAGAGCATTTGTGGTAACACATTGCAGGGCCAAACAAGCAATAATAAGTGGCTTCATTTGTTGAAAACTTATTGCATATCCCAAAGTGCACGAGAAAGCTAGATGCTCACAATTGTTCATCAGTAGATTGTAATTATGACCGACATCAGGATTATCTTTAAAGTACTGGGCAACAGCGACAGTTGCATGTCGTGGAAATCGTTTCAAATGAGGTGTATATTCGTTATATTTAACAAGAGCAGCACCATCATTTAAACTAAACGTCCTCGTATTCTCTTTTATCGATGCTTTGTTGTAGAGTTTGGTATTGATATTGCCATCACCAGTAAAGTGAATAAGTGTGATTGTTCCTGCTTTTTTGTCAAGTTTTGAGACAATAGCATGATGGGCGTATACACCTAGCTTGCTAAACTTATATGATCACCTTCGCGTAATTCCGATAAATCAGTGATCATTTCAGATGGCACGAACTCCAATGCCTTTTTAACACTATCCACAATGCTGTCTTGTGCTTTAACGACACTGAAAATATAATTGTAAACTAATGTATAGTTTGACCAACCAAATGATTATATGTCATGTTAATAAGGTTTTCAAATATCTCTAATTTTGAAAGCAAAGACATTATAAAAATAAATAGACAGGTAGGAGCGAACTAGTGTTCTTCTAATTAGATTTGAGTATTGTATGTAAGATTTTCGTATCAACAAAACTACAATTATGCACAAATAACTAAAGTTTGGTGAATAATTAGGTCTTTTCACTTTTCCGTGGAAAGACCTTTTGATTTTGTTTTGATTATTATTAAAAAAAAATTCTTCCGCCAAATTTTGTTTCTTGCGCAGTATTATTGTTTCACAAGATGACGCTTAGATTTTTGTATATGATATCTAACACTTTATACGCTTTTAAAACTGACCCTGTTTGACCGAATACTTTTTTTTGTGAGAGTTATCTCCCCGAACACTGTTTTTCTTTTATTCACTACTCCGTCGAAACCGTAAAAAAATACGACAAAATTGATTTACCAAATTGCTAGTTACATCTTCAGGATTAGGATGACCATTTTGATCTAAGCTATAGGGAGATTCCATATGAGAGTTATTCCCTCTTTTGCATTTGGCCCTAGAACACAGTTCTTTTGTAGTGCATTTCTTTAAGACAATAAATTCAATTAAAAAATCGCACCTGCTCCATCTCAAAAAGATGTTTACAGTGTAGTGAACTACTATTGGGACAAATAATATTAAAATTATAGAAACTTCTACCAGCTCTTACTCAAAATTTTGACAATTCTGTGTTAAGGGGGTCTAAAATTCAGATTGACAGCTTCAGACATACTACTTTTTGAACTTTTTTAACTGGACCAAATCACTACTTAACATAAAGATTCAGCACCCAAATTTTTTAACATGTAATTTCATCCCCCTACTTAATATTTCATGCATTAAATATCAAGAAATAAATTTGGAAAGTTTATAAAAATAAATGCAAGTTAAAACTTTGCATGGCCTAAGTTTAGAGAATTATGAAATAGTTGGCCAAGTTTCATTGCCATAGGACATATATTATAGAAACTAGTGTTATTTTAGTATTAACATTTGGATGTTTAAATCAAATATTTTCAACTGTCAAGATTTAAGCCTAACAAATTTAAATGTTGCAAAAATTTGCTTTTTAAATGCTCTTGAATATCATATTTTAAGTATTAAAAGCATCTGAACACTCATTTTGTTTATCAGTATTATTACAACTATTCCAAAGTCAAATTTATATGAGCCTATGCTGAAAATAGAGATTTTCGAATTAAGGTAAGCCTTCCATAAACATGCATTTTTTTCAACCAATTTGAAGTTTTTGAAGTTTTTTAACCATAAAGTATTCATTCATATATATTAAATGTACTTTAAATGTAGAGAAAAGTTACAAAAAGCATTCCACATGAGTATTAAATGGTCTTAGGCCCTGTAATACTGAGAATTATTTAAGAGTCGATTTAGGCCGTAGCCCATATTTACATATAAAAATGCACACAGAAGCTATAAGAAATGAAAATTTGTTACTTTTTGCTCATTTCTATGCTAATGTGTCATGTTACAAGAAGTCTAATTGCAAAAACACTCTTGTATATAACTTTTTTGCTGACAGTATGGTCAGATGACCAGTTTTTCACTTTTCAATGGAAAACTTGCATGTAGTTTTATTCTCAATTAGCATATATTTGGACCACTAACTATCCTAAAGAAGAAAATTATGTTAGCATATGAAATGAATAAGGTGTACTGATCATTGTAAAATGCTTTTTTAACAGAATTAGTGAAATATTTGTGATGGACTACAGATTTTATGTACAAAGCTCTTCACATTTCACATACATCAAACAGGCCGTTTAACAAGGGTCATGAATACGAAATATTATGCACATTTTTTCTGTGATAATCTACTTTTCTCTAGATTCAGAGTTCACAAATGGTTAATTAAATTTGATTTAAGCATAGAAACACAAATATCAGGAACAAAAAAGATGTCAGTTAGAAAGTCAACTACCTCTTAGGCATAACCTGCAAACTGCTTTAAAATGCGTATTTTAGCCGTATAATGCCAAAATGGGACGTTTTAACAGAATTTCTGTCAACCAAAGATGTTAATCCTTTTTACTCTTATTGAGTTCAACAAATTGAAACTAGCGAACCATTCAGGAAAGTTGCCAAAGTACAGAATCTACATTTACGGAATCCATCTCTTAGGCCCTAGAACACAGTTCTTTTGTAGTGCATTTATTTTAGAGAATAAATTCAAATCAAAAACTCGCACCTGCTCTATCTCAAAAAGAATTTTACAGTGTAGTGAACTACTATTAAGACAAATAATATCAAAATTATAGAAACTTCTACCAGCTCTAACTCAAAATTTTGACAATTCTATGTTAAGGGGTCTAAAATTCAGTTTGACAGCTTCAGACGTACTAATTTGTGACCTTTTTTAACTGGACTAAATCACTACTTAGCATAAAGATTCAACACCCAAATTTTTTAACATGTAATTTCATCCCCCTACTTAATATTTCATGTATTAAATATCAAGAAATAAATTGGAAAAGTGTATAAAAAAATGCAAGTTATACACTGTTCACACTAGGGACTTTATTCGTAGACAACGAAAACCAAAGGACGATAAATGTGTCCTTGTCCATTTGATATAAGATATATGCATTTCTAACTGGTAAACCATAAGTGATAGAGACCTAGGGGCTTTGGATTTGAGATCCTTGATAAAAAAAAAAGAGAATTAGGTCAAGGTCAAAGGTCAAGGTCATATTCCAAATTTTGATTTTGGCTTATATTCAATTTTTTTCAAAAACCATAAAAGATATTGACAACATATTTTTACTAAACTGTTAGCTACACCATAACGTAAGTCATTTATTTTGGTTGAAATGGTACGCTGACATTTATTAAGAGTTTTCGCCCCTCATATATATATAGAATTATGCGTATAGTGATATTACGCATTAACCATACATATTAGAGACCTAGGATCTTTTGTATTAATGTCTTTGATTTATGATCTTGAAATTGAGGTCAAGGTCATTAGAATATTTGATGTTCTAGATTTTGACATTTGCTTTAAATTCATATTAATTTTATACATCATAAAGCCATTGGACTTTGTGCATTTGGTTACAAGCCATACCCATTTGTATGACAATGAAAAGGCAAACCGGAAGTGACCTTGTGTAAACCGGAAAGGACTTTATTTTGTACTTATTTCACGTAAAAGTACATAAAAATTATTTTTAAAGCAATGTCAAGTAAATGGAAGTTTTAAACGGAATTTTAATATTTTTGTATTAAAATAGATCTTTTGGGGTTGAAAGACCTTCAATTGTTCTCTGAACAATTGGTTTTTAATTGAACATGACTGATTGTTGTAAAAAAAAAAAAGAGGCAGACGTTACTAATGTGAAGATCGAAAAACCACTATTGGTGGATTACACATGCATGTATATGTGGTTTTACTAAATTTTTACTGTATATGAACTCATTTCCTTTATTTTAGAATAATGTGTGTAATATTAAGTTTGTTATCAATTAAAACTCCATCACACTGCAGAAGAGATGGTGGAGATTAATGTTAATATATGCAGCAGGTAATGATTCACCTGAATTCTAATTATACATTTGTAAGTACCCAAAGGTTGACCGATGAAGCAAGATATTATTATCTCAGTATATGTCAGGCGTACCGGAAATCAACATACGATTTTAGTTGGGTTCTTGCTGCTCATTCTTTAATTGTTTTGTCTCGCCTGGGACTGAAGTCACCGTATGAGAGACATACTGATTACTATCCAGGGGCGGCGTCGCTTTAATTTATTGTATAATCCTTTATACATCAGAAAGTTTGAAGACCTGGATGCCTCATACCTTATATTCAGACAACTATGCTACAAAGTGTTCGCCGTTCATATGTTCTTGTCATTGACTTTATTTTGATGGTTCAACCACTGCTTAAAACATATTGTTTCTTTGTCATGAAAATTGTTCACTTATTATGAGTAAAGGATAACTATATTTGCTATATGGGCTCCCCTTGCAACGTATAAGTACCGACAGCCAGAGTTAATCTAACCTAGCCAGTATTTAACAGATTGGTAATCAGGGTTAAAGGGTCACTATCTATGAGATATAAACAAAAATTTTAAAAATCGTTAATTAAAGTGAAATAGTGTAACACATTTAGCTTTATCAGCCCTTTTGTTTCAGTTTTGTCAAAATAAGCAAAGAAACATTGCTGATGAAATATTCACTTGCAAGATAATAATTTTATTTCAATAAATCCGTATTCATGTGAATTTCAATTGAACCTCTCAGTAAGAGATTGGTTACGCATGAACTAAACTAAAACTAAGCTAATAAAAGGAAAAGAATGTCAATATTGTAAATGAAGCAAGGTTAAACCATTTGGTTGACTGATTCGATTAACAAAAACATGAAAAACTCGTTCTTTTATCAAAAAAAGTCAGATAAAAACTGTTATTAACATATTGTTTTAACCTATAATATGAAAACAAACTGACTAAGAAAAAATGCACGATTTCGCATCTATGTCTATGTTTATGGTTATATAGGGTCATATATCGGTAGTCTTCGTAAGGTCCAGCGACGAATGATTAGATTGCGTCTAGACGAAAAAAACACAAACAATGAAAAGACATAAATTAATATATTTGATGCATCGTGAATGGTTTATTTAAGACATTTTTTTTGTGTATAAGTTTTAGTTTGTTAAAAGTCAAATATGAGAATTAGAGTCCAATCGGTGAACATGAGTTTGACAGCTATTAGTGCCCCTTTACATTTACTTGATTCGGTCCGTTTATCCAATACCATGAGCAGAAAGTAACTATGTCTGGTATAGAGGATGATATTAAGGGGTACATGTCAGTCTGACAGGTTTCATCTGAATTTCACCTCATTTTCATGGTTCGTTGGTGAGGTTACGTTTTTGTGTTACGATCT